AGGAATTCAAGTACCTGGGCAGCTATATTAGCGCCCGTGGGATCGAAGATGAGGTTATGAACCGTACAGCAAAAGGTCGAGGTGCTTTTGCTAATCTCCGCCACCCGTGGCGCGGACGCGACATTATTGTCGCCTTGAAGGGCAGAGTTTATAACGCAGCCGTCCGTTCAACCCTCCTATATGGTTGTGAAACGTGGCCCATCAGGTCGACTGACATAAAGAGGCTAGTCACCTTCGATCATCGCTGCCTTCGCAGCTTAGCTCATGTGTGGTGTGAGCACCGCGTGAGCAATGAGCGTGTTCGGCGTCGTGTATTTAGTGCAGGAAGAGTGAGTGAACCGCTCAGCACCATTATATCATGACCGGTTTCGGATGGCTGGGCCAGATGCTACGCATGTCACCACACCGACTCCCGCGACGCTCATTGTTAGTGCTGGGGGTGCGGTTGGAATAGGAAGAGAGGAGGCCAAGCGATGACTTGGTCGAGAGAAGCGAAAACTCTTACTTCGAAGTTGGCTTCGGTTGGTGCATCCCGACTACCTGGCTGGGGTCCTAAGGACGATGAACACGTTTGGTTGGACACACTTGCTGATATGGCTAGGAGCCGGCCCCAATGGCGTTTGTGTTGTGAGTTCCTTTGTCCATCCCTCCTGCTTAGCATCCCCTCCAATCACGATCTCATTCGCTAGGCATAATATAACTCTTTTTACGGCACGATAGCCGGCTGTTAGCTCTCCGGAACGATGTCCATCCGTTACTGGGGTCTCAGCCGGCGTGCCACTGTTGTATTTTTCTTATTATCTTTAGTATTACGTCACAGTAGCTGAGATGTTTTCCACCTGCAGCCACGTGTATAATGATAATGACGATCAACCAACTCCATAAACCTCTTCTGCTGCTGCGGGATCAGCTTGATATCGTCTCAATGGCTGATGTATTTTCCACCTCTACCTAACGTGTATAATGATGTTAATGATGACTGTCGATACGTATTGGTAAAGAGACCGTCGCCAATGTTTTACGATCCAACGGCTACTATCGCAATTCAGTACGAACAAGCTAAGCATGTTAAACCCACAATGAATTTGCATTCCAACGATTTATTGATACATTGGCCGTCGCTGAGGATAATCTTCGCCCTATTTTCTGCATCGAGCAGGACGCATAGGCGTAAGGATGCTACTACTCAAGCCTTTTCGTCTTCACATTCCCCCTCTACTTCTTTTTCATCCTTATCGTCCCGTTCCGACTACGACTTTATCTTCCATGTTTTAAACCCTTTCAATTATTGTCCCTTCCCCACCTTGCTTGATAGATGTTTATCTTATAGTTTTAACTCAAATGCAAACGCGGACCGTCACTTCTACCCTGTTGACAAGTCATCAGCAGACGTCGGTACTGCGTCCCGGCGCCTCGCTGCCGCGCCACCATCACTAGTCGCAAGTTGGCTAAGGACATTGTGATGGTCGCCCGGTCCCTACGCAGGCTGGAACCCGCACCCTCGGATTGCAAGCCAGGGTTGTGATCCCTAAGGCTACGTGCTCTGTCGACAAGCACATGTCCGACTAAGCGGACCAGCTAAGTTCATCGGCTTCTATTTGGAGCCCTCGAACCTCCTTCAGATTGGCATGCCTCAACGAACGCACGTAGTTACTGATCAGTCAGAAGGTAGCACTTGGCCGAACCTTAGAGACCAACACGGTGTAGGCTTCTCTAATGATAACGGTTAGCGGTTACTTCATTCGTGTGAACATGCTCGCTTATTTCTTGCGAGCACTAATTTCCGACACAGCACCCGCCGGAGGGTGACTTGGCGCCCACCAGCCTCGAACCAGCTATGGACGCAAATCGATCATATTACGATAAGTTACCGATGGAGAGGCTGTGTTCAGAACTGTCGGTCGATATGGAGCACGGATGTGTACACCGACCATGCACTTGTATGTGCTGACCTGCGGATGCGTTTCGGCGGACGCCCAAGACGACGTTGTGAGCGCATTTACATCAGCCAGCTAGCGAAACTAGCTGTTCTGAATGCCTATCAAAGTACACTATCATGCGAGTTGAGTAAGCGCTCACTGGATACAGTTGAAGGTCATTGGTGGCATGTTCACTATACCTTACTAGCAGCACGCTTTCGCTAACGTTCGTCACCTGTGGCGCCGTCGCAACATCACTCATTCCCTGAATGGTAGAGTTAACAGTGCAGCCTTACCTCGGACTCTACTGTACGGTTATGAAACCCGGCTCATTAAATCGGCAGATGTAAAGAGGTTAGTTGCATTCGACCACCGGTGCCTTCACAGTTTGGCTCATATCTGGTGGGAACACCGAGTGTGAGCAATGAGCGTGTTCGACGTCTTGTTTATGTCGCAGTAAGAGCAGTTGAGCTGCTCAGCATCGTTTTCTCGCGCTTTAGCCTGCGATGGCTGGGCCACGTGTTGTGCATGCCAGCACACCGACTCCCACGACTTGCGTAATTTGCGCGCTGGGGGTGTGGATGGAAGTATTGGAGCGGAATCCAAGCGAGGGCTTGGTCAGAAGGAATGAGAGCTCTTTGTTCGGTGCTGGCCACGTTTGGAGATTTTTTGATTGCCTGTTCGGGCGCTAAAAGATGAACACGTTTGGCTGGATACACTTTTTGACATGGTTAGGGACCGACCTCAGTGGCTTTTGTGTTGAGTTACATTGGCCTCTCCCTCCCTCTGAATCTCCGCTTCCAAGCACCATCTCATTTCTTACTCATAACTTTTTTGGCAAAATAGCCAGCTGCTACCCCTTCGGAACGGTGTCCATCTGCTACTGCTAGCTTAGATGGCGGGACTCTTTTCCATGTTTTTATATCCTCATGAAATGAAATGAAATGTGTCAGCGTATACGCCGTAACGGCGCTTTGCTGCCGCGCGACCACCACCAGTCGCGCGCGGGCTGAGTATACCGCGAGGACGCCCACCCTTACGCGGATTCGAACCGGTGACCTTATGGTTGGAAAGCAAACGTGCCAACCACTCGGCCACCGGCCGACTATATTCTCATGCATTGCGGCTCAATGACTGAGGGTGTTTCCCATCTCCAGGAACATGTTTACTGATAATGATCGATGGGGCCGCTTCTGTTCGCAGTCTGCACACATGACTTTTCTGGGAGTTTGAGGTGTTCTCGCTCTTACTTACTGCCTACTTAATGTCAAGGACATAGTGTATGTCCCTCAAGGTCCAGAGACTTTTCAATTGCCTCTTTATAGACTCTGGGAATGATCTGTCTTGTGGTTGTTGCCTATAAACCGGGAAGTGTTCATTGCTGTCTGATTTGCCTGTCTGACTCGCATATTTATGTGATCGATGAGAATGAAATTCCTTACGTGATTCATCAGGTCCACTGTTCCACCCTTTACTCTGGAGACAACTTGTAGGTCTCTAGCAAAAGATTCCGGATGTTTGTCGTGTCTCCGTCGTTCTTTAGGTACCGTGACAGCTGATATCTTTGTAAAGCTCTTCTCTGCCTTTGTGCGACCCTCATCTAAAATATTACGTCCCGGCCCGTCCACCATACATTGTCCGGGACAAAATATCACTAGATAGGGTATTGCGGGTCGGTACTTGATTGTTCGAAGGGGTACGAGGACAAATGTACCCTAAGCGCCTGCTTAGTTTGGACATGCACTTAACGCATTATCGAAGGATTTGAGGGAACCTAACCCTAACCTACCGTATTTTAACTGGAGCGGTTGGCTTCGATTTGGATTGGCTGTTCAGTCCCGCTACATTGTCTAGTGTCTGCCGGTGGCCGAGTGGTTGACACGGTTTGGCTTTCCAACCATAAGGTCCCCGGTTAGAATCCGTGTAAGGGTGGGCATCCTGGCGGTAGATACAGCCCGCGCGAGACTGGTGGCGGTCGGGCGGCAGTGAAGCGCCGTTCCGGCGTATAAGCTGACACACTTCACACACATTGTCTAGTCTCCTCAGGCAACCCATGAAGTCACACAAGCCGCGGTCCGATCGTATTGGAGCTGGAAATCGGCTGTCATGCCGGGCCATCGAGCGCTGGACCTCGCTTCCGGAAATTGTTATCAGCGAATCTACGGGATAAGGGGTTTGAACGTCAATTAGACACTTTTCTTCTTCCTGACGATTCCCGCCTTCATATTTCATTTCTACTTTCTATACTTTCCCTCACCATTGGCTTCACAATTTTCTTTTAAATGGAGATTTGATCTTTATCCGACGTATTCTTAGAGGAGAATTGGGGAGGGAATTACAGGAATTCTTTCATTTCAACACAGAGAGCGAGAAGAGACCACAGTTTGAAACTGTTCAAACCGGGAAGTCATCGAGTGCAATCTAGCCTAGCTTTATCCACTCGCGTGGTGAGTGACTGGAACCACCTTCCGGAATCCATCGTCTATGCCGAGACCGAGGAACGTTTCAAGCATTTGTTGGATTCTCATTTTAGTTTGCTGACTCTAGCTGTTTCCGACGCAACTTCAGTGGTTCTCTGTGGGACCTTGTTCATCAATAACCCAGGCTATCTCCGCAACGATCGGGAACTGACGGAGCTGACAAAGGACCTTCCTTCTGCTCTCTATCATCCCATGATCCAATGACTCCTTGCTCTTTACCTTCTATTTTTCTTCCTCTCTTGTTTACTTAACGTAAACTGGCACAACAGGGACTGCTAGTTCAGGGAACACTGACTTTATTTGGTTGACTATTGTGTAATTTGGATGTTCCGTTTTAGATTCATCAATGTGTTGGAGTATTTTATCAGCACCTGGCTCAAAGATCCGCTAAAGAAGGAACACTTATGGGGTTATTTTATCGTTCCAGTCCTACCCGTACTTGAATTTGAAGTGACCTAACTGACTAGAACTTGGGTACACCTAATGAATACTGAGTGTGATTCCTTCCTCTTGAGTCTACTATCGCTTTCTACTGATTGGTGAGACCATTCAGCTACAACACTATGCACCGCAGTTTCGAATATGATATCTTGCCACACGAAGATATTTCTCACCAATCTGTACAAAGACATGGATCGGCACTGGGCATTTGTTCGTGTACACTTCGATACTACACCACCTTGCTATCCAGTTCGTTAGGACGCCTATCCGAAAGTAAGCCTTTGCCCAACTGTTACCTAATTTCACGGTTTGTGAAACTGTCTGGTGTTGCTCAGTATTTTGTTATTTGTTCTTAGGTTTGTCAAGTTGCGTTGGCTCCGGCACGTGCTACGCATTCCTGGTCACCGCTTACCTAGGAGGGCCTTGTTCAGTTTATCAGGTGTAGGATGGCGCAAGGCTCGAGGTGGACAGAAGTTGACTTGGCAGCGGGAAATGAAGATACTGACGACCAAACTGGGTGCCGTTGGTCCGTCTCGCCTTCGGGTTGGAGTCCACGTGACTCACCTTGTGCTTGGCTCGAGACTTTACAGGACATGGCTCGCAACCGACACCAGTGACGCGTCTGCTGCCGTCTCCTAATCGGATTGTCTGTTTAAAGTGTGTTTGGTGCTGAGTTATCTGCGGGGTAATGGCTGATTATGACGCAAGGAAGCTGTCTCGCCGATGCCACCTTATCTTTGCACGATAACCAGCTGTTTGTGACGGAATGTTGTCTACACAAGGTGTATGCGCCTTGACCCAGAATGTTTGCTTAGGGCATTAAGGTTTTCAGGTAAGTCCCCTTCTCTCCCTCTTCTTATTCTTTATTTCATAAGTCCTCATGGTTGTATAGCGGCAAAGCTTCAGTTCAAATGGCTGATGTACTGCTGTTGATGATGATGATGGTTTGTCAAGTTTTCACATCCTTTCCAGTCACCACCGACCACTTCAAACTCAGCTTATGCGACGTTATGAAAACGGGAAAGACTAGAAGTCCTGCTGTTTTACTTGACTAGCTGTTGCAGGCAAGAATGTTCAGAGCCATTACTCAATCGGTTTGCTAAAGCAGAGTGCCGTGAGCGTTTTGGTGAAGAAAGCCAACGGGAAGTGCCGCTTTTGTATGGACCTCAGAAGGCTGAACGTAATCTCGCTGAGTCGATTCGTCCCGTTGCCTTCAGTCGCAGACAATTTTGATAAGTTGCAGAAGTCAAGGATATTTACGGTACTGGATCTGAGGTCTGGCTACTGGCAGCTGGCAATCAAACAAGAGGACCGAGAGAATACAGCGTTTACAGTCGGTGGCAAACAGTACCGGTTACAAAGCATGCCGTTTGGATTATCTGGTGCCCCTTTTACCTTCCGGCGTTTGATGCTGCGACTACTGGATGGATTAAAGAATGTGACTGTATACGGCGACATCTTTGTGTATAGTGAATCAGAGGCAGAACACTGCCGTCATCTAGAAGCAACGCTGCGAAAAATTCAATAGCCTGAATTACGGATAAATGGGCTGAAATCTCAAATCGGGCTGACGTCTGTGACACTGCTTGGTCACAAGGTGGGTCAGGGTGAACTCAAGCCGCTGCCGGAGAAACTATTGGCCATTCGAGCCTTAGTTCCGACCTCAAAGAGCGGTCTCCGGGCATTTTTGGGCCGCACTGGATATTACAGTAAATTTGTCGGTTATTTTAACAGCTTGGCGTCACCTTTGTATGAGCTGTCATGTGAAGGAAAGTAGTTCACTTAGACCCCAGAGGAAAGTTGGCGCGATGGGCGCTGCGTCTACAAGAATACGACTACCATAAACCACATACCGGGGAAAAACAACGAGGCGGCAGGTTTTCTATCACTCATGGCAAACGATGAGGATTTACCGAGTTTTGCCTTCGGTGTCGATGATCTAGTGCTGGAGCAGGATCTCAGTAAGTTAGAGGCTGAACACCGAAAGGACAAACTTTTGAACAGAGTGATAACAGCACGAATAACGAACCAAACTGCTGCAACCAAAAACCAGCGCCAGCAATTCGGGCCATTCACACGGAGACTGGAGAAGTTGCATGTCAACGAAGCCGGAATTCTGAAGTGGGCACAAGAATACGATGCTACGCCTGTGCCGGTGATCCCCTCAAATTGAAGAAGTTCCTTGTTTCGTGTCAAGAGATGACTCACACCGGGTGCACCAGGACATATAATTTGCTTAGACAGCGAGCTTACTGGCCGAACATGAGGAAAGACGTCGATGCGTACGTGCTCTTGTGTCAGCAGTTTCTGAAAGGAGACAATCAAGGGGCACTACAGCCTATGTTGTCCATTCCAGTGTCCGAGCCCGTTGGACTGTGGTCAATCGACGTTAACCAGACGAGGCAGTCAGTACATAGTCTTGAGGACGGTGCACTTTACCCGATGGATCGAGGCGGCGGCGATTCCTGATCAACGCGCTGGCACGGTAACACATGCCATGATGAAACACGTGATTCCGAAAGCCATCCTGACAGACCAGGGCTCATGCTTTGAGAGTGACGTATTTCGGGCGTTTGGGGAAACTGGGCATCAAGAAGATACTGACCACTCCCTACCATCCTCAGACAAACGGATTAACGGAGAAGAATAATAGAACGTTTAAAGAATGGTTTGCGGTGAAAGGGGATTAGAAAGAAGCCTTACCACTACTGTTGCTAGCACCAATGAGTGTCCAAGCAAACAAGCACCAAGAGATCCTTATTCCAGTTAGTGTACGGCCGCTGACCACGACTACCGGTAGATCTGGAGATAGGAGTTTGGCCGATTTGCTAGGTACCACCAATGGAACCACGGATCGACAGAAAGTTAGCTGACCGAAATCCGAACTCAACTCAGAACCGGAGGATGTAATATATATATATATATATATATATATTTATGTATATATATATATGTATAGGCCTCAAACTATGTATTGCACTCCTGCCGTGAATCGCTGTAAATTTAACATTCTCTCCCTCGGTACTGTGACGAAACGTACTGAGCTGGAGAAGGCGCTGGCTGCACGCCTGTGTGATGTGGAATGCATAGCCACAGTAGGCGACCTGTAGCACCACATTCGCGACCAGGTGACAGCTGCTACCGAGGAGACCATCGGGCGCGCAAAATGTAAGCGGCCTGATTGATTTGATGACAACAATGCGACGATTGGCGCATTGGTGTCAGAGAAGATTGCAGCATTTGCTGCAAATGTCGCAGACCCCAGTGACTGGGAAGAGTAGTCAGTTTCGCAAACTTCGACGGCGACTGACCCGAGAGCTCCGTCGCATTAAAAATGCATGGTGGACGGAGAAGGCGAAGCAGATGTAATGCTACGCCGAACGCCGCCAGCACAAGGAATTCTTTGACTCCTTGAAGGCGGTATATAGACCGAGATTGGAGCCGCTGCGGACACTGATCGATGGTAGTTCAGGCGCTACCTGCACACAGACCGCAGACATAATGCAGATCTGGCGAAAACACTTTGACTGTCTTTTGAACAAGCGTTCAGAGATCGACTGGCCTACATTGAACTGCCTGAAGCAGCACGATGTGAAGACGAGTCTGGCGGACACGCCGACACTGGATGAGACGCAGAGAGCACTTGCTCAGCTGCGAAACGGCAAATGTGCCTGAGCCGACGGGATCCTGCCTGAACTATTGAAACACGGCGGACCCGCGTTGTTGACTGCACTGCACCACTTGGTGCAACGTGTATGGATTGAGGAGGAGGTGCCTGCTGAGCTGAAGGATGCCCTTGTGCTATCACTGTAGAAGGGTAAAGGGAGCAAGCAATGTTGCACGAATTATCGTGGCATCAACTTGCTGAGTTGTGTGGGCAAGTTGATTGCCCGAATCCTGCTCAACCGCCTCGTCAGTCAGGTTGTGGAACCGAACGCGGCGGAAGACCAATGTGGATTCCGTTCGGGTGGCAGCACTATAGATATGGCGTTTGCGGCTCGTCAGTTGCAGGAGAAGTACAGAGAACGACACCAGCCATTGCACTCGCTTTCTGTTGATTTCACCAAAGCATTTGATACGGTGTTATCGCGAGGCATTGTGGCTGGTGTTGGGTAAGTTTGGTTGCCCGCGTAAGTTTGTAAGTTTAATTGAATGGCTGCACAGTGGTATACGTGCGAGGGTGCAGCTGAGTGGAGAGACCTCGGATGACTTTGCAGTTGTCTCTGGTGTGAAGCAAGGCTGTGTCTTAGCTCCTGCCCTGTTTAATATATATCTTCATGCGATGTTGTCCTGTGCTTTTGATGCGGCTTGTGCTTACGGTGTTCGTGTGGAGCACCGTATTGATGGTGGGTTGCTGAACATCCATCGTTTCGGTGCGAGAACTGTAGTCTGTGAGACAACTATCCGTATGTTGCTGTTTGCTGACGACTGTGCGTTGTTTTCACACAGCGCGGATGAGTTGCAGCACATGACTAGTGCTCTGGCTTCGACAGCGGCCAACTTCGGGCTCACCATAAACACAAGCAAAACTGTCTGTCTCTTTCAGCCTTCATCGGAGGTGCAATCTTCAAGATTGCCGCAAATCAGCATTGGTGCTGAAGTATTGGAAACCACCTCACCTTTCAGCTACCTTGGGAGTGTGATATCGACTGATCAGCAAATACACAGTGAGCTTCGTACCCGCTTGTCGAAGGCAGCGGCGGCATTCGGGAAGCTTGAGTAGTCCGGGAGCAAGGGGCCAGCTGAACTGCTGTTCAAAGTGTTCAGCCCAACGAGCCATACGACGCTCCTTATTGTGTATCAGCGCACCCGCGCTGTTTCTGATTGTCTCACTGACGCCTGGTTTTCTGGGACCAGTGGTGCGGATTAGCTGGAAGAGCTTGCGGTAATTGCCTATTGCTCCTGCCTCCTCCATTTCTTGAGCCCGACTGGTCCACCAGGCTTCCTTGTCAGCACGTAGGCTCCGCTTTAGTTCACGCCTAATAGCCCGTCTGGTCAACATTTTGTTCAGAACCAGCCGGGAGGTGTCTTCTAGCTTCCAACAGGTTCACGGACCTCTCGGATATCCAGTGACTAGGTGCGGTGACGACTGATAGTGCCACAAAGCAGATGCTCCTGCGTCGTGCATAGCGGCCGAGATCCTATTCCACTGAAGGTTAGTGTCATTAGGACAAGACAGCGAGAGTTCGGTATGCAGTGCTTCTTGATAGGCTTGCCTGACCGAGGGCTGGGACAATTTCTTTGTTGCTAATCGGAGGGGACGCTTTGTGCGC